TCAGTAGACCTTCCCGGGGTATATGCATGCTGATTTGGATGAAGTGGGTTGTTAACAAGTACTTCATCTCTTATACACCGCTCACATAGTCTCTCCATGGTTTTTAAGAAAAACGATGTGAGACTAATTGGTCGGAATGCTTTTGGTAGGGTGTAGTCCATCCTACCTGGTTTGGGTATAAATACTACTCTTACTTCTCTCCACTTACTGGGAATATACCTCAGAGCTAGAGAGGCTCTGAATATTCCAACCAGGTGTGGCATAAGAGTGAAATGGGGTTGCTCAGACAATGATTTTCCAAAAAAATTGCAATACTTCGAAATCGGCCGCAGTTAGAAAGGGATCACCTTGATGAAATTCCTCTTAAAATTCAAAAAAGGAATGAGAAGTGAAGTATAACTTAGATATCCATTTTTCAGAAACAATTTTCACAGGAAAAATTCATTTATTTCAAGAACCATGTTGAGAAACTTTGACACTCTAGTCAACCTAACGTAACTTGAAAGTTACTCTACCATGTGAGCTTATGGTTTCCTAAGCTTAATGTTTCCCTTATTTTATTTTTTGTTTACTCTCTTCAGGTGTTTCTAGTTGATAAATTAGCTGTTAGTTCAATCTTCCTCTTGAAGATGATCACTTGGTGATCGAAACATGTGTCAAGGTGTTGAAAATAATAATATGGTGTTGGGAAAAACTCCAGTAATATTTATTATTATTCATATACACCAGTTATATGAATTTCTCAAAGCTTTCTCAGGTACACCAGTAAATATTTTCGTAACTTACAATATTCTATCACCTCAGCTGTGATGGGTAGTAACTTCTGTTAGTGATTTCCATTTTTTTTCGATCTCATCTTTATTCCTAGCCGCCCATTTTCGGACTCTTCATCTTCGAAAATCCGGAAATAACAAAACACTCGTAAAACGAACCAGCCTTTTATTTGAAAATTAATAAGTTTACGAAGGCCTCGAGGAAACAAGTCATCATCGTTTGGCAATCATCCACAAAAAACTTACAAAAAAAATTACAAGATACATAATCCATCAAAAAAAAAGAAAACCTGCATCAGGAACGAATACGTTCGAAGAATATTTATTTTAGAAGGGAAAGTATTCTATGTACATTATCATCATCAGTCAGAAAGGAGGAGAAAAAAATACTGTATATGTTTATACCAAAAAAATATATACAATATCATTTCAAGCATCGAATAAATCAACTTCTGACTAGCAACAGTAGCCCAAAGCAGTTTCAGATCGTTTCCGAATAAAATATCGTGGTTGATAAAGAGAACGCAACAACGTCGCAGTAGCGGACGCATATCCAAAACTGAATCGTGCAGCTGCATATTTTATTATACAGAACAATCTCGACACATTGTTATACCTATGTATACAACTTAACAATAAGAAAAATTATCAAAGGCGTGCGTAACAAATCAATATTTATAACAACGTTGTTGTTGTTTCCTTTCGAAAAGACACCTCGAGGCGGCTGCTGCTGCTGCAACGGCGGCAAGAGGGCTCAGCAGATCACAGAGGCCAGCGCCACTAAAATAACAACGTCACTATGAACAATAAAAGGGTATTAAAGAATATAAAATATATAATTTAGCTACTTTTGTTTTTCTGTCTTTCAGTTAAAACACGACGTGTTTCATAATTATTTATAAAATTTATTTCATGTCTATGTAGACGGCACTAGCACTGGCACCGAAGGGGGCATTTGTTAATTTCCCGATGCAGAACCTTCATCTTCTTCGTCTTCGTCGTTTTCCTTCAGTTGTATGAAGAACGACGTCAGCTGTTTTAGAGCAACTCCTGGGGACAAAAGAGAATGTTGTTGAGCAATCGGTACCTCAAAACTTAAATACTCACTATACAAATAAGCAACAAAAACAAATACATATTGGAAATAAAACGTATATAACTATTAAAGAGTCTTCCAACAGGGACTTCTAAACTTTGACAATTGATAATGGCCATTTGTCAAATATACTTCAAAATAATTCTATATTTAAAATTTATAGACATTCGAATTGATAATAAAAATACCATTTAAATTTGGCGGTATTTCCATAAATTTGATAAGTAATATTCAAAACAATTGACAATCACTTCTGATATACAATGAACAGTTCTATTAGTTTTCAGTTGAAAATACAAATACTATTGACATGTTAAAACCTTTCTCTATATTGCATAGAAAACAATTTCAGAGATTGCATAAAAAGTAATCAGAGATGAAACTGGAACCTATGCCATAGAATGAATTGAAAACAAGCACATTCTCTGATTATCAGAGATTCAATACTCTTCTCGACGCGCGTTCCATCAATCAGGACTTCAGGAGATGAAAACTAATTCCCAACTTCAAAACTGTTCTCTATCTATATTCAGATGCACATCAATGATTTCGGGTAGAAATTTGCGGGAAATTTCCCTGTGAAAGTTGTTTCAACTCTCTCAACAACAGAACCCCAAAGTATTAAATTCACATGTGATATTGAAAACAATGAGTTAACATTTTCGAATATTTCAGTGAACAGAAGTAACCAGGACCTAGAATATGATGTCTACAGGAAGAATGGCAGTACTTGAGCCGCGAGAATTGTGACAAAAAATGTATTGGCATTCATTGAATCGGTTGCACACAAAAACATTTTTCAAAGGCATCTAAAAAAAACATTGTAGGAAGGTTACTATCAAACCCCATTCATCGGACCAGAATCCTTGTGGTGTTAGCGAATCCTTCCCAAATTCAATTTTGCACAATCCGAACACTGTGACACGAAAATCGTGAGCCGCAGTTGCCTTGGACATGCCAGATTACCAAAAATTGTATTATTCATAAATGCTTACCTTTACCCGCCTGTTCAGCCGGGTCTTCATCTTTTTCCCATGCGAGGAAACTTTCTTCGGAAATCACTCCCAAATCATACAGGCCATTGCAAATTTGGAGTAGAAGACCTAGATAAAGAAAATTGATTGGTTATTACAATTCCGTGCATTTCTTTTTCAAGAGATCCCTATGTTTTGCTCCTTCATGCTGGATAGAAAATGAGCTTGTTTCATGATTTTTGGTTCATAGTTCACTTAGATAGAAATTTTAAATTGAAAAACAGTGCACTTTGTTTCATCTCTCCAAGTACCGTAGTTTTCCCGTAATTAATTATTAAAAATCGAATGTGGTAGGGTGGTGACGTCACGCCCCTATTACCGCTTCTTTTTCGATTGACCAATACGAACAATAGAAATAATCAACATTGCCGTAAAATTTACGGAGCCTATAATAATCAATTTAATTATGGAAGTGTATATGAACCCGTTAACGTTTCAATTAATAAAAAATTCTCCACATGGAATAAAATGTACACGAAAAATCATATTGGGAAATAAGTTCTATATCTAAAATCAGTACACAAAGTCTATAGATCACAAAATATTTACCTAAACTATGATTTTATGCATTATTTAATAATATACAGTTATGAAAATAAAAAAATATAGCAAACTGGATTAAAGAATCGTTTCAAATATTCAATTTATTCTACAATCCTCCATCTGTACAACTTCAATTTATTATAAAAAAAAAAACGATTCCTACATACATGCCTCTTTCTAATATAACTACTAAATTCAAGCGTTATAAGCTTGCTTGGGTAATCTGTTGAATCTTCCAAAACTTGAGAGGAAGGTTGAATGAGGTCTAGTATAGACAGAATTGATTGTATTCGAACTGATCCAACAAAAGCTTCTGAGGTAATAATACCATTAATCATATGATAAAATTTAATTAATTTAGTTTCATACTATCAGTAACAAGATCAACTCCAGATAATACTTTCTGTAGAAAATACTTGAAAGTTGAAATAAAAAACTGTCATTAAATTCAATATTTTCGTCTCCCTTTCATTTATAGTCACTTTTTAAATGATTTCTATAAAGTCTTGGAAGAGTAGAAGGATTGTAGTTTTTTCTTTTCAATACTTTCACCCATTTTTTTTTCTCATCATTTTATCCTTTGGGAAACTAAACTCATTATATGGAATAAACCAATGCGCTTTCTGTTTTCTTGTGCCTTTCCGCAAAATTAAAATCAGCAACAAGAATGTACCATATTAATATTCAAATATATCTCTAAAACACTTTTAAAACATACACAAACTAAACTCAATGAAAAAACAAATTGTTCCTATGCGAGCTGTCAGCTAAGAAAAAGTTGAAACTCAATGTTGCAAAAACAAGCAGAATGGATCCGATATGACATACATTTTCAATGCCGAATAAACCAATAAATTGTGATATGGGTACTCCATTTTCCTGAGAAAATGAACGGTCAATCAAAATTTTCTGTAATTATTCATTCATTTTTTAAGAATAAAGCCAGTAAACAAATAAATCTTCAATAATAAGGTCGCTCGAATCCACGAATTAAGCATAAAAATGGACATAATATTTGCCTTGATAACTGATATAGTACAAGTTATATCTAAATATGATTCTAAATAGAATTAAACGAGCTGTATTTTCAAATAGTTTTCGAATGCTCATGAACCCTAATAAAATAAATCAATTATGCATTCATGGTGTATTAGCCATATTGTCATCCAGTCAGCCAGCGCTCTCTGTAGTGTATGTGACAATGTGCTCTTTCTAATGTCAATGGTTTCTACAAACTTCATATTTTTGTTAAAATAATTTCAAAATAAATGTTGAGCCTAGTTTTGTTAGAGTCGATTTTGAAATGATCGATGAATTTCACTTGAAAAATTTGCAATACTTTGGTACCGAAATGAAGAATGAAAAATTGAAACGGTAGGTGGTATATTTAGTAGGTCACTTTTATTTATATGACATTCATTTCAGACTGTGTCTTTTATCGAAGGATGGAAAGTTTTGATTTAATTTTTATTTTAACTCGGCCAAGGAGCAGTATGGTGACTGAAAAGAGAAGAAAAAATATGTACAGTGACATGTAGAATAACTCCGGAACATATCAATTCAAAAATAACCTGAAAAAATATTTTTCGGAATGTAAACTAATGACACGGAAATATGCAACAAAATAGGCACCCGCCGAGACCTACCTTTTACAAAAAATAACAAAAATGGCGTCTGTCAAATTGGATCATCAGATCTGTGATTGGATATCAATAACCAATACACTTGGCAACTCCTCTCTAGACACGATCATTTTTATTGGTCAACAGACACGCGGCCAATTTAAATTCTTACTTTTCGAATTGTTCTTTTTTCTGAAAATATAAATATATTTCGGTTCGATTAGGCTTGATAAGTATAATAAACCCCTAACTCGATCAGTCTATAAGCAAACCAGTATCATTTTCCATAGCATGAAACAAACCCATTATTACAATTTGCAAAAAATTAACGAAGTTATGTTTACTTACCCTGAGGATGCTCCATTTTGTTAATTAAAGTCTGTATGGCATACAGGTACTGCATCTCCTTGTCACTGTCGTTGTCAACGTATAAGGTAATCAATTTCTGAAAAGCATTAAGCTTGGACGTTGATAATTTATTACACTTGTTGTCTAGTGACACAATAGTTATCGCTGTAGCAAGTGCTCTGATGAAAGTGTTTTCCTTGATTTGACCTTCTATGTTGCTCTAAAACAGAACGACAATGGTAAGTGATTCCATTTCGCAATAAATTTTGAGTACTTACAGATATCCAATTGCTAATCGAGTCAATTTCACTGCTAGTCGATATAACTTTGCATAACGCCTCTTGCATTTCCTCAAACGACATTTTTATTTTGCCGCCAACTAAAAATTCTAATTGCTGCAAAAAAAAAAACTCAATCAAACAGGTATATTCAAGATAACGATTTTTTACTCAAACTCCATCAGAAAAGACAGAATACTCACATTGTCTTGGATGAAACCAGCAGCAACATTATCACTAACGAAATCCTCCACTCGCAGATTCGACTGTTTCCATATGCTACTCAAGAACATTGGACCTTTTCTGCTAACCACTAATTTAAACAGCGGAGCTAACAACTTGTCAGCCTGTTTCTGTTCGATGAGAACGTGACAACACGAATGGAGCTCTCGTAGAGGGAGTACTTCTTCGCAAATCACATCCACTGGAATTATAAGAATAATCAGTTAATACATCAGCCAAGAGCACAGAAACACAAAACCCATTCCTGATTCGAATACTCACCTAACAACTCGGCTAAACAGTCCCAAATCTTGGGAATGTCAATTTTAAGATCGTCGGCTTGAGGCAGAACCTCTTTCAGCCCGTTGATGTAATCATTCAGCTGAATCTTTTCTGACCTCAGTAAATTGGCGAATAGAAGTCCAGTCTTCAAACGATAATGCTGCTTCTTCTCAATTACATAAAAGAAACTGTAAAGAAATTGAAAGGTGATCAGTTGATGTGGTCTTCAACCTGATAAGAATTTTAATCTATTCTTCAACCTGATAAGAATTTTAATCTATTCTTCACTAGTGCTATGATTTTACACAGTTTACACAAGTCAAAGTTATAAGATAACACATCAATAAATGTTACAGTCTGATAAGAATCACGCAAAAGACGTATATTGTGGGAAGGCTACTATCAAACTCCATTCATCGGACCATAATCCTCATGATGTTAGCGAATCCTTCCCAGATTTTGTTTTGCACAATCCGAACACTGAGATATGAAAATATAGTATCACAGTTGCCTTGGATGTGCCAAATATATTTTTTAAATGAAATGTTCCACTTCTTTCTACTCAATGTTGCCACAGTTGATCAATCTAATTGTACTTACTTATTCTTTTCGTTCATTTCATTTCGATTGAAATCAAAATAAGTTTGATAACTATATTGAGGAGATATATACGTATTGAAAAATTCACCTCTCCCAATGTACCTACGCAGGGAGATCTGGTAAATGTCTACCGGAAAACAACCACTTCCCTGGCTAATACCACGATGGGCATTGAAATATGTCCAACATACATTTGTACGAGTGTTGTATTCAAATTTTGTATCTTATTAATCTTTTGTAATTTTGTTCACTGACGTATTTCTCGGACAAAGTATTTCTTTTAATTTTTTAAAAGATTAACATATACTCTGTAGAAATGAATGAATATCTATCTATCTACCTCATCATATTAGATAGGAAAGTAGTTGTTTGTCGCTACGCAATTTAGAAAAAATCAATTACTATCTTATTATTGAAACAATGATAAATCTGGTGCAATTGGCATTCCTTTGTACATATCAGATTAACCTGCCGTGAAAATGAAAAAGTGATCTTTGTCCTCACACAAATGAACTCTAATGAAAAATTAATGTATAGTGAAAGTCTCATGAATACTAAAAAATATTTGAATATGCATTCATGAATAGTCCTACCTCATTTTTAAATCTACATAAAACAGTTTTCACATCAAAACTGTAGATTTTGTGATCTGTGACTTGAGTGGTGATTTTGACTGTGTCAATCATCATAAACTTGTATCAAAATTTGAGAAGTACAGACTGAGAGATGTCCCTTCCAGATAAAAATCCCCATTTTTTGATTATGTATATATTAGCTTATGATATAATGAGCCTTGTTTCCTTATGGAATAATTTTAATTATGGGAAGAAACGACTTATTTGAACATAGAATTCACTTAAACAAAAAGTTTTTCGTTGAAATGATAAGAGTATACTATCAATAGTAGACCACTAGTTTACAGAAGAAAAGCCAGCCGACATAGAAATAATTAGAATTCAACGTCAACCAGTAAACGCTTCTAGAAACAGCTGTCACCACTTTTATCATTGAATCATCAATTTATTTTTGCAGACGTGTTAATGTATTTTTTATGAATACATTTGAAGGTCACATAGTAAATGGGTCACTCTATACATGGAATGTTAGCAACAAGAGATGATATTTCTATGAAGTTTTGCAGGTTGTCATTATCGTTTTAAATTAAAGAAGTATTATTACGATATTGATTATTTACCTATCGCAAACGACTCTGCTCATGTAAGAGGCAGGAATTTCCGATATTTCTTCAAAGTATTCACCAACGGAACAATTTCCATTTATATACTCTTCCAGACTGTTGGATATCCTCCTCTCAATCTGTTCTTCTGTCATCTTGGGCGTTTCTGCTGGGGCAGGAGGAGCAGCGACCGGTTTCTGTAAAGCAGGCGGGGCGAACGAGGGAGCCGGCGTACTTCGCTGTGAGGATGGACCTGAATTATCGTTTGACCTGTGCTGCGAGCCCGATCTGGAACCCCTACCGTCGTATTTGTTGTAGTTCCTCTCCAAGCTGGGGCCCTTCGAGTGGTACGGGTCTTTGTTGCCACCTATTCGTATATCTGGAAAAGGAAGTTTCGTTAATGGGTTTGAAAAAAATGTTTGAGAAAATGTAATAAGCCCAAAAGCTACAAAGGTCCACCTACTGCTTGTACAGCCAAAAGTGCAATAATAATTTTCAATATCTTCCAATTTCTAACACACTCCCACTGCCCTCTCCCCCCCAACACACCTATTTTTTTAGTTTTAGTTTTGAATCACCTTTTTTTGTTGCTCTGTTCATACTCGTGTTATAGAAGTCATAAAAAAGTATAATTCTTCTTCAGCAAAAAATAGCCATTACTCGCTGGAATGATTCACGAACTTCATTCCCTCTCATTGAATAATATACTATTAAACCATAACAGCATATTGTTCTATCATTCCCATTCCTTAAATTACTAATTCAACACTTTATCCCACAGGACTTAATGTTTTATTTTGTATCGTTAAAACTATATTTCATAATACATAATTGATACAATTTTGTAATGAAAAAAAATGCATGAATCATTTTATCCTACTATTGATAGTTTAGTGAATATTATGAGTATTTTTCACACTTTGCTTTAAAAAATACTGTTGCATAGACATACTCGAGCGCGTCAGATATTGATGTCCTACATATTTTAATAATGTTGATATGTTAATCTGATCGTTTGCATGATGTGGGTGGTTGTACTAAGGGTTAAAAGTGAAAAAAAAATTTAATCGAGCGCGTCAGATTTTCTAAAGAGGTGATAAGTGCCACAAAAAAAAGCTCTCATTCAATAATCTGACGATTTCAATCTGACGCAAACTCGCGGCCATTATTATAATGTGCAAAAAAAATTCGCCATGTCCAAATACTCAAGCGCGTCAGATTAAGATATTAACAAAAATGGCGTCTGTCAAATTGGATCATCAGATCTGTGATTGGATATCAATAACCAATACACTTGGCAACTCCTCTCTAGACACGATCATTTTTATTGGTCAACAGACACGCGGCCAATTTAAATTCTTACTTTTCGAATTGTTCTTTTTTCTGAAAATATAAATATATTTCGGTTCGATTAGGCTTGATAAGTATAATAAACCCCTAACTCGATCAGTCTATAAGCAAACCAGTATCATTTTCCATAGCATGAAACAAACCCATTATTACAATTTGCAAAAAATTAACGAAGTTATGTTTACTTACCCTGAGGATGCTCCATTTTGTTAATTAAAGTCTGTATGGCATACAGGTACTGCATCTCCTTGTCACTGTCGTTGTCAACGTATAAGGTAATCAATTTCTGAAAAGCATTAAGCTTGGACGTTGATAATTTATTACACTTGTTGTCTAGTGACACAATAGTTATCGCTGTAGCAAGTGCTCTGATGAAAGTGTTTTCCTTGATTTGACCTTCTATGTTGCTCTAAAACAGAACGACAATGGTAAGTGATTCCATTTCGCAATAAATTTTGAGTACTTACAGATATCCAATTGCTAATCGAGTCAATTTCACTGCTAGTCGATATAACTTTGCATAACGCCTCTTGCATTTCCTCAAACGACATTTTTATTTTGCCGCCAACTAAAAATTCTAATTGCTGCAAAAAAAAAAACTCAATCAAACAGGTATATTCAAGATAACGATTTTTTACTCAAACTCCATCAGAAAAGACAGAATACTCACATTGTCTTGGATGAAACCAGCAGCAACATTATCACTAACGAAATCCTCCACTCGCAGATTCGACTGTTTCCATATGCTACTCAAGAACATTGGACCTTTTCTGCTAACCACTAATTTAAACAGCGGAGCTAACAACTTGTCAGCCTGTTTCTGTTCGATGAGAACGTGACAACACGAATGGAGCTCTCGTAGAGGGAGTACTTCTTCGCAAATCACATCCACTGGAATTATAAGAATAATCAGTTAATACATCAGCCAAGAGCACAGAAACACAAAACCCATTCCTGATTCGAATACTCACCTAACAACTCGGCTAAACAGTCCCAAATCTTGGGAATGTCAATTTTAAGATCGTCGGCTTGAGGCAGAACCTCTTTCAGCCCGTTGATGTAATCATTCAGCTGAATCTTTTCTGACCTCAGTAAATTGGCGAATAGAAGTCCAGTCTTCAAACGATAATGCTGCTTCTTCTCAATTACATAAAAGAAACTGTAAAGAAATTGAAAGGTGATCAGTTGATGTGGTCTTCAACCTGATAAGAATTTTAATCTATTCTTCAACCTGATAAGAATTTTAATCTATTCTTCACTAGTGCTATGATTTTACACAGTTTACACAAGTCAAAGTTATAAGATAACACATCAATAAATGTTACAGTCTGATAAGAATCACGCAAAAGACGTATATTGTGGGAAGGCTACTATCAAACTCCATTCATCGGACCATAATCCTCATGGTGTTAGCGAATCCTTCCCAGATTTTATTTTGCACAATCCGAACACTGAGATACGAAAATATAGTATCACAGTTGCCTTGGATGTGCCAAATATATTTTTTAAATGAAATGTTCCACTTCTTTCTACTCAATGTTGCCACAGTTGATCAATCTAATTGTACTTATTCTTTTCGTTCATTTTGTTTCGATTGAAATCAAAATAAGTCTGATAACTATATTGAGGAAAGATATATACGTATTGAAAAATTCACCTCTCCCAATGTACCTAGGCAAGGAGATCTGGTAAATGTCTACCGGAAAACAACCAATTCCCTGGCTAATACAACGATGGGCACATTGAAATATGTCCAACATACATTTGTACGAGTTACCTCATCATATTAGACAGGGAAGTAGTTGTTTGTCGCTACGCAATTAAGAGAAAATTAATTACTATCTTATTATTGAAACAATATATCTGGTGCAATTGGCATTCCTTTGTACATATCAGATTAGCCTTAGATTTATTCAGAGTGGGAATGGAGTGATAGAGTAATAGATAGAACAAAAGTGAATAGACGAATTTTTATTATTTCGGCTTGCGGAAATCGTTAGATTATATATTTTTCTTTATCCTTGAATTATTTCCTTCAAATAAAAATAGCTACGCTCGAGAATGTCGAAATGACGTTTTTTTTTACAACTTTGCTGCCCTCCCCTTTCTTTACGTCACTCTCAAATTGTCAGATTACTGGAATATACACTTTTTAACAGGTAATTGACTCACCCTACCTTAATCTGACGCGCTCAATAATTTCTGATGATCAATTTTTTTTTACTAATCTGATCCTTTATCCCTCACAGGCGGCCTTATATATATGGGGAGGTATTTGGTGGAGGTACTTAACCGGGTACAAGATATCCCCCTGTATATTAATCTGCCGCGCTTTATTAAATCCCGAAATCCCCCTTGGGCTCCCCTATTATAATTAGAAATATCTACTTACTCATGCCACGTTTGTCCATGTCTATGTTCTCCAATGCTGCATACATGTTGGGGCTATGCGAGGCAGGAACTTTGTTGTTCGAACCCACAGATCCTTTTCCCCAGGCTCCAAACATCAAGGGATTACCCAAAGGTTCTTCAGTGGCTGGCTGAAAAAAGAACCATGTTGATAATTCAAGCTCACTTAATTTTAGTTACAGAATCGCCAAAAAATGTTTCGAAACTATTTTCGTGGTTTGGCAGCCATGATCTGCTGGTTTTCATGACTGACATTTCGTCTACTACTGCTCTAGACATTATCAAAGTGTATGAGGCAACAGTATCTGCTGTGAGTTGTTCTCACAGCAGATATAGTTTCTGATATGAGAATCATCAGAGCAATTCGTCCTTTGCCGACAAGACGACAAACTCTGATAATAGCTTCAAAACAATTGCATACTGGCATGAAAGTTTACACTCTTCAAAAAAAATGTTGCTGCCCGTATAATCATCTCGATCATTTATCGATCGGATAATAAAGTTGTACAGACTTTTATCTTACAGTGCAAAACACCTTGGTAACTTGAAGGAAACAGTTACAAGGAGCTGAAACTGTGTGCTGGGGTTAGCTTCAAACATCCTAACGAAGAAAGTTAATTAGAATGAGAAGATATTGGGGAACACTTGCAGGCTTTAATTTATCAATTTGACGTAAAATATTTTAGAAGAGACCTTTAACGTTCTCAGAAATATTATTCAGTTATCTTTGCCTTTCAACAAATCATTGTCAATATCAAAAAAAAATATATATTATTATGTTTCTTCAAGTTGCTTATTACTTCATCACATTTCAAATAAAAAATAACAATATCAATTTTTTATCTAATAATAAACTAACAAAAAACAGAAAGTTTCAAAGTTGAAAAGATAAATCAAAATTCTAAAATTACTATTCATGACAATAATTATAAATTTTCACAATATAGATTTTATTTCCAATACGCGTTTCACTACATAGAAGCATCCTCAGTTGGACTGATGGACCAGTGGCGTATTGGAAATAAGACTATATTGTGAAAATTTATGATAAATATCATGAATTGTGTTATTATCACCAAGTAACGGATTAGTGCCTTCAGAATTCGAAAAATTCTTCAAGTGCAACAAGAAAAATCAGATTGAATGTTAGGAATTGAATATTCAAAAAATATCATAAAATCTTTAAAGCATAAAGAAAAAACAGATATACTCACCGCTTTGCTCTTGAGCTTGTCGGTTTGGACTGAGAATTGGTTGCGGTTCCTGGAGTTGTTCATGGTGGTCCAGCCACCATCGTCAGACATATTGTTCCTGACACCACGTCCTCCTCTCCTGTCATTCTGATTTCCCTGATTCGACCTGTCGTCCTTTCTTGAAGGTGGAGGCATTGAATTCATCATCTGAATGTTCATCTGTTCCGTTTCCGCCTCTTTCTGTATCTGGTCAATCGTCTTGGGGTTGACATCTTGACGACGTGGTACCCATTTCGATTGCCGCAAGTCGATCACATCCTGGATCATGAACCTTATTCTACTGCTCACTTTTGGCTGCTGTTTGTTCTCCACTATTACCTTCAGCGACGAAAAAATTTGATTGAGACTGACATTGTTCGTTTCGAGTTCTTTTCCTATAGTTGTCATCAGCTTGCACAGGCATTCCAAACTCTCTTCGTCCCTGTTTTCCAGCAGGATCGACAAGCACCTCATCATGATGTTGACAGTCAACATCTTTTGTTTGAACAGCTCACCTGAGAGTCAAAATACTGTTTCAATATGAACCCGGTAACCTATCGTTGCAAAAGTTACTAGCGGCAAAATCAGTTGAATGTTTGTCCTCAAAAATCTAGGTCCACTACTTTCATACAAGCATCATGTTGAAAAAGATCATTCTGTGGGATCTTTCGATTTATAATTTTGAGAAAACGAATATCTATAATAATTACTACCAAACTAAATAGAAAAATGTCTTTAAACTGCTATAATTGTTAGATTTATTAGTACTGAACATTTTCAATTCGAAATGTTATATAACGTAAGTATGAATCTCGAATATAAAACAAACATATTTATCAAACTTATTAAAATATTATATTACAAGTAAATTGTAGTTAGAATAAGACCATTAAAAAATATTTTAATTTCCTTACGCCAGCATAATCTCGGTTTTTGAGTTTTATATCAAATAAATAAATAATTACAATAGTATTGGTCGAGTTGGAAAACAGCTTTAGCTAACACTTCACCGTTTCGTCATAAGGTTTTCTTCAATTACTGTAAATATAAATAAGTTATCCTACATCTCTCGTGAAGAATAAAAACAATTATTATTATTATTATCATTAGTATTAGAAGTAGTAACACGTTAAAAAATCCATTTTTTTTTTTAAATAATAAACTTGAAATGTAACAGATTGCACAGATTACTAAAAACTTGAAAAAAAAAACCATAAATGATAACTGGGAAGATTAAAGAAAGAATCAAAAAGCATTCAATGTTTTTAAACATTTCAAAGAGTAGAAAAGGAGACGAAAAACTAATGATGATTGATATATTTTTGCATAAAAATTTGAAAACCAATACTCACCGATAAATCTAATGGTTCCCACAGACCTCATCCTCAATTTCCTGTCATGCTCCTCCAATTCGAACTGCAGATCTTTCATTTTATCGGGATCAGTGCATTCCTCGATCTGTTTCAGAATCTTATTCCGCCCAGTTTCATTGACAGACTGTTTCTCAAATTCCAATTGACATCGAGTAACCAGACACTTACGAAAATTAACAAACTCTGGTCGCTCTGACGTACTTTCCGACGTTGGAACCTAAAAACGCAGAACTCAACAGAAACGAAACGGAAGCGATAAATTTAGGGGAAAAAAATCAAAATTTCAACCCTCAAAATGAGGACGATCGACATCTCGAGGAGAATCAGGAATTTATAAACTCAAAAGAATTGAGAGTTCAAGCTAGAATCTCGTGCTTCAAACATTACTTTCAACTGAACTTATGAATGAAAATGTTAACAGTCACTTCATGAAGTTTTCTGAATATTGTTCTTGTTTTGGTTGGTTTCGGGTTTTGCCGTGGTCTTCTTTGGTCACAATCTCCAAATGTTTCAACTGCAGCAGACATCCTCAGTGGCGTGGTCGAAGTATTCTTGACGTATCAACTGAAACTACTTCGACCTCTCCACTGAAAATGACTGCCGCAGTTGCAGTTGAAAAGTTTTGAGATTCTAACCAAAAAAGACCATGGCAAAACCCGGAAGCCAATTAAAACATTGACGCCATTGAGCCTACATTCCTATAAAAATTTTAAATAAAAAAAAATTGCACGCCTTGAAAAAATGTTTCGATACTGTAGGGCTCCTGATTGAGTAAGAACCTGCGTACAACCTCAATATGCGTATATTTTGGGGGATTCTGTTATAGAATTTCAATGCTAGGTAGATGATGCTATGCTCATACAGAGCCTTTGTGTGAATGTGATACGCAAAATCATTTTTATGTCTTGTTTCATAAAATTGGGTTTTACAGTGTTTCTCGAAAAGATCTGGGTGAGCAATTGAAAATTTTATTGTTTCAAAGATATAAACAGCTGGTGCAATGAACAACTTATTTGACTTGAAAATTTCCCTACACGAATCCCTAGAATTTTTATTGAAAAGTACTTATCGATATCTAACTGTACAATGCCCTGTCTCTCACAGTAAGCTCTTCAAGTCTCAGTAAATTCAAAAGATATTTAAAGACATCACTCACAAAAAATCCTCTATTGATGACTTTTTCAATTTGATGTAATCATAGATCAAAAATTCCTTGCATGATTGATATTGGTACTACATCTATTTATGAATCACCATTTCCATTATGTGCTTCATATCAATGTTTTATACTTTATTGTATTGTCTACCATTACATCAATCTTATATTTCATTGTACTATGTCAATAATATTACAATGGGGAATGTTCCTCAATTTGGGTTATTACAGCAAATGCAAGTGTGAACAAAATAAAGTTGAGTTTAATTCATGATTTTTTCAAATTCACTTAGAAAAGTATTCAAATTGATGTTTCAAATGTTGGGTTTTAATTTTTAAAGGGATTTGTTTCTAATTCACATATTGGCAACAGCAACTATATCAAGTTGAAATAATACGTACCCAGATATTCTACTTTAAAAAAGGAAAATTATCTTTATAAATCAACAATTAAGGCAAAATATAAATTATAGTTCAATACTACCTCCACAAGCCACATAAACAACAGTTGTTTTGTTATTTATTTATATAGAGGAAGATAGGTTAGATGCACAAAATGTCATATGTCACAGAATGTCTCAGAACTCGGAACATAAGTAAACAGATCAGCACACCTCTAAAATATGTCATCTTTGTCTCATACAGGTAAAAGATTCATTGTCCTTTATTAGCTATAACCGATGTTGCCAAATGGTGAAATAGAAACGAATCCCTTTAAATGTTGAATGCATTATTTCATTCCTCTTTTTTAAGTATTTAAATAATTTTTTAAAGAAAAAAGTTAAAATGATAAATTTAAAATGCGTTGTTTTATAGCTCTTTTATGAAAACTACTTGATTTTCGTAAGGAGGAACATTCCCCATTGTATTTTGTGACATGTTTGGAAGCTGTAGTTTTGTTAAGAACTTAATAAACTTGTATTGGTACTCTTCATATACTTGGGTGAAAGAAACATTTAGTTGTGTAATATAAAAAAAAATTTCAATCAACATTAATCTAAACAGTAGTAGGTAATAAGTCATCAATTCTCCTCGAGCACCTATCGCCTGTCTAAACTGAATCAAACAACAAAAACCCCTCTTACCTGCAATAACCCCAATTGGTTGCACAAGCAAGCATAAGCGACTGCGTAGCTTGGCTCGTCGACCGCCTTATCAAAACACAAATCAATGACTCCCTGCAGCCTCTCCAAGGTGTCAATTTGGAATGACTTCACCTGCGATATCAGTGTGTCCATCTTCTGGGGCGTCAGCCTGTTCAGCACGCCCCGCACCCTCTTGTACAGCTCCTCGGTCTTCTTGTCTTCCGATGTGGCGTTCTCACCTCTGTTCAAACGAGCGGGGCGCCAAGCGTTTTCGACCTCGTTCAGTTTCACGTCTCCTTTCACCGATAATGACACCTTCATCGCCGGCTGCTTCGGCTTGCCACTCGGTCCGGCCTTACTTTGACTGCCTCGTTTGGGAATAGCCTGGAACAGAGAGAAACCATGTTAGATATTAATCAAAGTATAGTTTTCTAGCAGGACGAGGATCTTTTTTTTCAGTCCCACTATCAAGATCAACATTAATCAGTCAGATCACTACTTTCATATATTAGTTCATCATTGAAACTTAATATAATTTTAATTTACCATTCTAACTTGTCTTCAAACCCGTCAGAAATTTGACACTTTTTGATAGAAAAGATGAAGCCAAATGACGGTCAAAATAAAAAGTAAAATAAAAGATCAACTGCGGCAAATACAGTTTTTTCCTATATATGTAAATAAGAAAAGTTGACTTGGAGGTATATGAAACAGTTCATAAGTATGTACTTACCCCTCTTAGAGAGTTCGATCTACTTCCATAATTATTGTAGTTAGGGGCGAAATCTGAGGATCTGCCACCCATCGAAGACCTTCCATCACTGAGACCCTGATAAAAAAATCCATTTGTCAATTGTAATTTATCAAACAAACAAAGAAAAAAACAATGTAGGAATACTTACGCCTCTTTCATCAGCCAATATAACGTCCGGAATGTTTTCCGGAACTTTCCGACTTGCTGGAGAATCTCTCAGTGCCATAAGAAAGTCGCGCTGATAAACTTTCAAACCGCTGGGGTTGGCTGGCGACCACTGACCTGAAACATCACACATTCAAACGGTATTCGATAAGAGCATAAACAATTTTATGTTTAAATGAAACAATGTTACTGCCTTGTATATTTATCCCTATCATGGTCTGAATCGGATAAAAAAGTTGAGCAGTCTTTAATCTTACAGTACTAAAACGCCTCCATAACCTTGGTAAAATGATAAGGAGGAGCTGGGACTGTGTTCTTTTTTTACTGGGACGAGAGCCCGTGAATATTTGAGTAGCTTATTCATTCTTTTTTCCATTTGGAAAAAAAGAAAACTAAATCAACTAAATCATCATCATTAGTTTTGAAAATGTACAGATCTCAATAATAATGATAAAATAAAAATGAATGTTGTATTTAAAAAATATACACATTATTATGAACAATTAGGGCCGATTTATACATCCCAGTCGTTGTATGTGTCAATTTAAAAAATTCCCAAATTTCAACATGATTAAGGCAAGTTAGACAAGGTCAATGTGCGCATGTCCACAAACAGGCATTTCTTTTTCTTCAACTGGTCTCATTGAATGCCCTACAAATATCAGCTGACGGGTTGATTGAATTCAATGGATTGTTGACCTTGACAGCTAATGGCGTTTGGAAAAAATCTGTTTTAAATAACAGTAGAGCTTAATTATTATTCAAAATTAGTCTTGAAGAAACAACATATATTGAAATTGAATGCAAATCGCAAAATTATGGTAAAACTATGTCACACGTCACTAGTTTTTTTTTATGATTAAAATTAAGCTGGTGAAATTGGCCAGTCTTAAAAATTCGTAAGATGACAAAATCCAAAATGGAGACAAATGCTGTGTGAAGAACTATAATGAATGGATTGACCTTAGACAACAAAGAAATTATCAACTCTTAATTGAAACGGAATTGGAAACTACAAACTTTTTTGAGCTGCATTTTTTGAGATTTTCTCTTTTTTAATAACAGTTAATCAAGAAAAATTGAATTTCATGAAATGCATCTTTCATTTCAATTGTTGTTATGTTATGCTTTAACTCTTGTCATTAAAACTTCCAGACTGAACAGCAATTAGGAACTCAAAAGAAAGAAAGGAAAACTATCAAACAACTTTAATTTTTTGTAAATACATTTTCAGAATTAAATTCTAAGGGTTATATTTCTAGAAGAGAATAGTTTTAGGAAAAAAGGTTTTGGCTTTCTATTTCTTCATCTTCTAATCAATTTCGAAATAAACTATTAACAAAGATTTATATATCATGCATAAAAGTTACTTTCATATACAAACTGGAAGAAAATTTCCTCCAAAAACAACTACTTTCAGAAAAATCCTGTGTTGAGTTCATCATAAAGGTCTAACCTGCCATCGACCGTGAGTCAGGCTGTATATTTAAATATGTAAAAAAAAGGCGAAAAATTATACCATTTTATCAATTTTTCCAAACTCAATCTCTTTCATGATTCTACTTGTTTGGATGATACCACATATATAGATATATTGCCAATTTGCTTGCTCCGCTTCACAATAATCTTATGACATTTTTTTATATCAGGTGACTAGCTTTGAACAATCACATATTTATTATTTGGATAAACTGGAGTTAGTTTTGTTTATTTTTTTTATTAAAACTATCACATTATCGTTTGGCTCGACATTCTTATTTGAAAAATAGAGTGTTGAAAAGAGAACCGAGAGACCTGGTTAACGAGTAATCACAAGACCCTTGTCCCCCTATAAAATGAGAGTAGGGTAATGTTCCTTCAAGGAGCCCATATAATTCACAATATTCAAACACTAAAACTTTTCATGTCTAGCAAATTTCAAAGTCGCACTTTTGACATCCATTAAAAAGAAAAAAAAGAACACTTACCCTCCCTATAAGGCAACCTGGTGTTGAGTCTGGGGTCGAGCTTGGATATATCATTCTTGGCGCCGGCGTCGTTCTTAGCCTGCGACAACCTGTCATTTGAGACGGCCCTCGCCCTGTCTGTTTCGTCGTGACTCTCGACGGTGCTGATAAACGGTTTGATGTTTTTAGGTTTTTCCGTAACGATGCTGGTAATGTCAAACTTGGGGTTGCTTTTGACCGGTTTCGAAGGGGCCAAAGCGGGTTTCGAAGGGGCCACGACAGGTTCCGGAAGAGGCTTCGTGACTGCAGTGGGCTTTATTTCCTCGATCTCTGGTTTCTTCGCGGGCACGTTGACGTTAATATCGGGCTTCGCGACGGGCGTCGTCTCCATTTCAGGCACCGAATTGGCATTAATGTCATTAGTTCGTGGCGGGCTGGGAATGGGGGCTGGGGCGGTTGTTACGTTAGCGTTAATCTCCTCTTTGGCGACGTTGTCGTTGAAGGCATCCATGTCGGTGCCTTCCTTGTTAGCCCCCTTTTGGTTCAGCTCATTCTTCTTGTGGGCTTTTCCGCCGCCGGCGGGTTTGGCTGGCTGAGGCGTCGGGGCAGCAGCCGCCGCCTGTTTGTGATTATTGTTGTGGGAGGCAGATTGCTGTTGCTGCTGTTGCTGTTTTGAAGCTGCTCGCGAGGCATTTTGTTTTTTAGCTGCAACAAATAAGACAACTTATAGAAAATCTTTTTTTTGTAAAATTTCATAAACATAAGAGAAAATCATTGTTGATTACAAAAATTTCACTATTTCACTCATAGAACTTTCTTTGAAGTGCGTGAAAAAACATTTTTTTCAATGTTTTTATGAACACCGGTTCCATTTGGCAAAATTTTCCGGGAAAAAGCTCACAGAGTGGACTAACCATGATCACTTTTATTCTGTGATGCATGTATTTCATTGTTCAAGATTTAAACTGATAGTACTTCCAATACAAAAAAAATTATTTTCTGAATGTCTTACGGCAAAACATCGATGTCTACCAGTGAGGATGACAGTGTTCCATGTAAATGCAATTTGTTACCATTCATTTAAAGTAGAACTCCTGTGAATGATATCTGATTTTATTCCATACCGAATGTTTGGAATACAAACTGAGTAGAGAAAAGTATCTTCTGTATAATTCAGTGTTCATATAAAAGTATTTGTTTCGAAAGAATTTTTTTCTTTCGTGTAATTCAATGTTTATATGAAAGTAGCTGTTTTAGAAGGGCTTTCTTCTAGTTTGTGTCTGAAAGTTGCTTCTTTGCATGATCTACACATCCATGTATAGATTTACTTATTTTCAAATTGATTAATTCTTTCCTTTCTTTGTAAGATTCCCACATTTTTTTGTATCAAGATTACTACTACATGGAGTAGTAGAAAGCCAAAAACTTTCATTCCAAAAAAAAAATAAGTGACATTTTTCAATTTTTGCAGAAATGGGATCAACATAGAAACTTTACAAGGATCATAACATCCTGCAAGGAGCAATGTTTACCGATATGTATGAAGAAACCAATCTTCCCTCACTGAATATCAATATCTTCTTCAATTCTAGCAGTATAACTTGATGAAAATGTAATATTTGATGATCACATTAGAAAACTAGAAATTATCATCTGGATGTTTTGCACTGAGAGATACAGTAAAAGCAGACTAATGAATTATGCACTAATGACTTACAACTGAACTGTAGTATACTTTGGAATACGATAGTATTACTTGAATTAAATGGAACTGGTAAATAAGTACTTAATGAAAATCCATATCAAAAGTAAGTCAGCAAAACTTTTTCTGAAAATTTCCGAGCTCAACTGATTCCAGCTGTATAAAAGTGTCTATCTTTCGTATCATTATTAATTTGCAAATATTTACCTATTTACCTCCTCAAACTATAAATGCCGAAAAGTTGTTGGTTTCAATTTAGTTCACACGAGGAATTGTTGAAACAAAAGATGTTTAGAAAAACCCAAGAAATGTAATCCTTTTTCAATGTCACGTCAATCATATTTAGTATTTAGTAACTCTAAACATGAGACACATTTTCAATACCAAATCCCATTCTGTAAGTAAGATTTTACTTTCGGTCATTACAAATGACCTTAAACGACAATGACTGGAGTAGTATAGTTTTGAAATACTACTTTGCAAAACGGCATTTCAAAAGGCAGGTTTCTGTAATCAAAAACCTCCCATTGTAGTTCAGTTTTGCTTTTTCAATAATACTATTTTCTTTTTTTTGTTTTGAAATTTACACAATAGTTTTTACTTTCGTTAAGAAAAACCAAAATTTGTTCAGTCAGATTTCAGAAAGTTTATCTCAATGCATGAAGTATCGGTGGACAACTGCTGCATCATAATAACACTTTGTTCAACCAATGAATTGTCTATATGAACTGTGAGCAAATAAATTGTTAAGAAAAACATTTGGCAAATCAACAAGAAATAGCAGCAGTCAGCAGTCTTTTCAATTAGGACAAACCTATTTTGTATCCCATCCACAAAGAAAGCAAAACAATAAAACTAAGTGGAATGAAATTATTCAAAAACACCAGCAGTGAAAACAAATTCCAACTAAAAATACTTTTACTAAAATTTCACAAAAACATGTTTTGATTTTCGTTTTGAAATTACAATTTTTTCAAGCAATTTTCACAACGCTTGAGGGTGAAAGAAGGGGTTATAATATCGGGTTTTTCAACAGGGACTTCCGAACTTTTGACAGTTGATAACGGCCATCTTGTTGAAGCTACACCTGTCATTGTACTTTCTAAACAACTACTTTCATATGAATGTTTGGAGAACAAACTGAATTTGAAAAAGTTATTTTTGTGTGATTCAATGTTCATATAAAAGTAGTTGTTTCGAAAGTACTTTAACTTTCGTGTAATCCAATACATCCAGAAAACAATCACTGTTTGTGTGGATTTTGGTCCATATTTCTATGAGAACGACGTTGGCCAGGCCATCACTGTCGGCGGCGAGCAGTATAGGTCAATGATTACAAACTTCCTTTGGCCTGAATTGGACGATCTGAACACTAGGTTAGGTTAGGTCCAAAGTGAGTAAGTCTAGTCGACCCTCCACCACAACCCGCAAAGGTTTATTGCGGATCACACCTATTCACACTCGACCAAATAAACCCAGCTCCTTAACGAAGCCGATTAGTTTGAAAGGTAAGTGGTCTTTCAGGTCAGATGGTGAGAGTACGGCTCTGCCTAACTCTAAAAACCTGATTCGGTCCCCAGCGGGGCAGGCACACAATATATGCTCTGCTGTTTCATCGTTAATGAGGTAGTCGGATAGTCAAGGTGCAAGATTCCCACCTTGATACCCGCGACAACCTTCACATATGAGTGTTTTTGCACATCAGCTACACCTGACGATGCCTTAAATTCGCCAGTGCAGGGCTTTTTCGCCTCTGGTTTTGGAAAATCATCACTTGAGCACAAACGTTTGCTAACCTGCTCATGGGAGGTTTGTTCCTCCACCTGAGACAGATTCTGCAAGACGGTTTCATAAGGTACCCTGCTCTTGAGGAGACGACTCAGTTGTTTCCTGGCTGCACCACCAAACCATTTTTTTAGGTTCAGTTATTGGATCCGGAGTTGGAGAGTTGAGGAGCTCTCGCTACTGATCTAAATTTACAGGGAGGTCAGTTAGAGTCGTAAGCTCGACATCCATCCCTTCTGTAGTCTCGCTCCTGATCTAAATTTACACTGAACATTAACGACAAGTGGTTTCAACAGAACGACGCTACGTGTCATACAACTCATGCCACATTGGATTTTCTGCAATAGCGATCTGAGGGCATGATCGACTTTTTATACTGAATATAAATATAAAGTTTGATAGATAACTAGATATTCTTCAAAACGGATTCAAATAAAATGGAGAATGTTCCTCAATTTGAGTTATTACAGCAAATGCAAGTTTGAACAAAATAAAGTTGAGTTTAATTCATGAGTTTTTCAAATTCACTTCGAAATGTATTAAAATTGATGTTTCAAATGTCAGGTTTTAATTTTTAAAGGGATTTGTTTCTAATTCACATATTGGCAACAGCGCCTATATCAAGTTAAAATAATTTATACGTACCTAGATATTCTACTTTAAAAAATGAAAATTATCTTTATAAATCAACAATTAAGGCAAAATATAAATTATAGTTCAATACCACCACAAGCCACATAAACAACAGTTGTTTTGTTATTTATTTATATAGAGGAAGATAGGTTAGGTGCACAAAATGTCATATGTCACAGAATGTCTCGGAACATAAGTAAACAGAACAGCACGCCTCTGAAATATGTCATCTTTGTTTGTCTCATACAGGTAACAGATTCATGGTCCCCTTTATTAGCTATAACCGATGTTGCCAAATGGTGAAATAGAAACGAATTCCTTTAAATGTTGAATGCATTATTTCATTCCTCTTTTCTAAGCATTTAAATCATTTTTTAAAGAAAAAGGTTGAAATGATATGTTTAAAATGAGTTGTTTTAGAGCTCTTTTATGAAAACTACTTGATTTTCGTCAGGAGGAACATTCCCCATTGGAAATACCAACTTTATGTAGATTTTAAAATACACAATAAATGACCACTTTCCATTAAAAGCGGAATAAATATTCAGTCCATGAGAAATCTGAGATCGAATACCCTCTTGTATCCAGTTCTAGCTGTTTATAATTATCATAACATATTGACCCCATTGAAATAAAATAACCGTTATAGTAGCACCCGAGGTGGTACCATCATTTTGCATATCAAAATATAGATGCATAATCGATGTTTGATAAATTCGTCAGATCTCCTGAATACACACAAGAGTATAATACTGAACAGATAAGAGAGACAGAACAATTCCACAAGAACATATCTTTCACTCTGTACTTTCCATGGATAAGCTGAAAACTTGAGCCCAAACAACACTAGTCAGCAGCGTTGTTTCGACCCGCCATAGGTCTCATCAGTGGTGTTCGGCTGAACCACGAATGTTTTGCGGACCTCAACTGTCCTCAAAGAACAAGTCTGAGTAAGTAATGGAGACGACATATATAAAGACGCCATCTATGGGATCAACAGACAACTCATTCCCGAATATCAAAGATAAACTAGGCTCCCCAAGGAAGTCAGTCGTAAAGCCAAGCGATGTGTTTGAGCAAGTTGCTTTCCAGTGAAAGCTGCAGTGAAAGACAGAGGACAAATCTCGTCGGGGGTCGATGTCAAAGCTTTGCAACTAACCGCCTTCGGGAGCCCCGTTCATCTTTGATATTAGATATTAGATATTAGAGGATTGAGTTCTATGTTGTTCCCATAGATGGCGTCTTCGTAAACAAATATGTATTCACCTTCACTCTTCATGGATTAGATAAGGAAAAAAGTATCACCCCAAGTCTAGGCTTCTACGCTCACGACGCGCATTTCGCTAACCAAGTTAGCATCATCAAGAAATGAGTATCGGAATATGCTGGACTTGAAAAGCCTTTTGATAGTACTGTTCGAGTCTAGGATACTATAAAAGTGATTTTGAAAAATCAGGTGACAGAGTAAAAAAACAATTGGGACTCAAAGAAAAAGAATCCACATGAAGCAGATGTGACGATTGTAGATTGTAATAGAAATCATGGTCCATTCATCACAGACAAATGAATAGGGGTAGATGTAATT